ATTGCAAAATAACAAGTTGTTAAGAATTTAGAAATTGCTAAAGTATATTTTGCAACAAATATTACAAAATTGATCAATATATTCTTAATTAATACATTTAGAAAGGAGACGATTTATTACATAAAGAACCAATACAATGTATCCCAATTCGGCAAATTTTGTCTTTATAATTACTCTTATAGGATAGTTACCATATCTAGTAAATGTAAGGCATTTGCAACGCCTGGCTCCCCTTTCAGTGGTGTATTGCCATGTTTGTCCTTGATTTCTAGTACTTCTTTGAACATTTTGATAAACTTGTTTAGTTGATTTTCAGATAGTTCATAGTTTGGACTGTGAAGAATATCATTCCGCGCTTCCCGTGCCTATAAAAATAAAATTTCAATATTTAAATTCTCATTTTAATTTGTTGCTAAAACACTCTATTTGTAAATTAAGCAACTTTAAAGCCTATTCGAAAAGGCTGTTCTAGAATTGCACTTTAAAGGCTAAATATCAAATAATGTTCAATTGAGATTACAACCAACAACAGATGATAACTGTGGTGAAGATGTTTACCTGTGCAAACGCATCTATTTTCCCATCGATGATAACTTCCCCAAGCATCATTTCTATTTCAATGTTGTTTATACACATACTAAGTAAACCAGAGCAGTCGACATCTTTAGCTGATTGCTTGCCTTTGTAGCCGGTAGTATTTATAAAGCATGTAGCAACACTCCATGGATCATTGCTCCATTTCTGGACATCTGTGTTTGTGAATGATGGATCTTGAAGGCGATGTTTACAAACTATTTCTGTATAAACGATGCCACAGAATCCCCCATTTGGACACATTTGTCTTGACTTTCTTTTCTGAATGTTAACACATAAACATTGATGTTTTCCTTTTCTTGGGCATTGATCTTGTTTATGTGGGAGAAGACTTCTCTCTGTACAAGTGTTACAGGGTTTTCCAAGTGTTTTCATTAGATCATTATGCTGTTTGGTAACAACCTTGTCGGAAAAACCCTCTAAACCTATTTTCAAATATTTTAACGCTAGAGCTCCTCTCACCCAATTTCTGTACAATTCTTGTGTTATCTGTTTTCTATGAATATGGTTTGTTTCCCCTAAAATTAATTTAAGAAAAAAATTCACCAATGATATGGCATCTGGTAGTTCGGTATGAAATTGATAGCATTGTTTGCTTTTTATATTTACCAGTCTTGACCAAAACCAAATGAATAAACTCATGTTGTGATAAGAGACTTACAAAAAGGTCGAAATTTAAACCAACTGACAATTAGTATCAATATTTCCCAAACTAAAAAACTTCCATATATGTTAGTTTTACCTTGTATTTGAACTGTTGTTTTAGATGAGACATTCCCAAAGTCAACTGTATATTCACCCTCGTCGTCTAATGTTACATTCGTGATCATCAATTTATGTGTAGTTCCCTTTGCTAGAATAAAATGTTTACCAGATGATTGTAGAAGTTTCCCTTTGTGCCGCCAGACAGGTTTACTCGTTAGCTGGTTCACCTTACATTCTATATCAATGTTTCTTTTCTCAATAACCTCAATTTTGACAGGCAAATCAACGACCACACTCAATGCTTCATCTGTTGGATAAAATAAATTTGAAGGAATTAAATTGAATTCTGAATCGCCATATCAGATAATTACATTCTAAAAGATCAATAGCATGTATATTAAACGCATATACATGTATATTGATAGCTAGATTTTAAATTACATTTTGTATATAGCAAACATAATGACTGTCCGATTTATCTATTAAAATAATACATGAATACCTTTTATAATGGTTTAGTTTGTTTAGTTTAGTTGTTATATTCGCATAATATAGATTTTATTGATTTTAAAGACGAGTGGCCTTCATATTCATAAGTTAATTCATTATTCATTATTTACCCGTATTATTTATCGGTAATTGCTCTAGTTACCACCCGTTGTTTCAGTGCGACCTTCAACCGGAACGGATGTTTTTATATACCTGTCTTAAACATTGATAGTCAATGATAATGCTGTTATGCAGTGTTGCACGTAAAATGAGTTGCATACACATTAAGGAAGAACTTCGCTTATGCAAACCCTTTTGTAGTTCAACGTCATATGTTTGAATCACAGCCACCGACAGAATTACTATTAAGCTCGATCTCGACGACCTTAGCTCTTGTGCAATATAAAGATTCCATGGATAAATTTTTACCAGTGAGGTAAATAAATGTATAGAAAAAGTCAACAGTACATGCATTTCTCGACATAAGATTATCACTTAACTTAAATATCAATTTATCTATTTCGTAGATTTACCAGATAAATTGCTTGTTGTTTGTTTTGTTTTTGTTTTTTATTAAATGTCACTGTGCATGGTGTTATTTTTTTTTTCATTTGATTCTTTCGAAATACTTTTCGTAAAATAATTATATTTTTTTGTTCATGTTATGAAAAGTGTTGTTTTTATTATCAAAATTCAGAAATATGAAAATTATCAATAAGCCAGACCCCTGACATGTTTAGTGCAATTTACGGGTCTGACACATTTATGTTTATTTACGTCACATGTATAACAACATGATTATTATCATTAATTTTATCTAAGACATTCATTTGAAGTTTTCTAATCTGATTATCTGTTTGACTTAACGAAAGGAATTAACATAAGGCACAGGGTATCGGCAGAAGATTTGAAGACTGGGGACGGCGAAAAAAGATCGGAACTTGTGCTGCGGACCAGCTGCCGGTGTCCTGACTAATGCCGAGGGGAGTGGCCCTACAAAGTAGGCGCTTGGGTCGACGAGGACGGTGTGCTAGGGTGCGTGAGCCCCTAGCACGGTTAGACGGCTTGAACGGCAGGCCTTTTGCTGTCACAGGTTACTGTACATTTAGGTCCTGATTGACCGCCGTACAGTGACCTACTTTTGGCTCAAAATTCATATCTTTGGCTAATACTCCGTGGAAATTGCATTGAGGTAAATTATCACCACTTTGTACTTCAAAATTGACTGGTGACATGTCCGGGGTCCGTACTCGACAGGGAAAGCTGCATTTTGTGCCCGAAAGGGCGGATGGACCCTTATAAAGCTTTAACTACAACAACGAACTTTTGATATAGAACCTTTTAGACAGACAGACACTTAACATGTAATTGTGTCAGTTTAAAGCTTGGGCTCTGCAGTTTTCTGCGTTGCAATTTAATGTACATATATTGTTGTTTTCAACCGTTTGGAATTGTTGTTATAAAGATGGGAACAAAATATATAATAAAAACGGAAAAAATGGACTGAATTTCTGATTAAATTAATCGAATGGTTAAAATATGTGGACATTAATAATTATTATAAGTAAACGGAGTAATAACACAATACAGAAAATTATAACACAGAATGTATAAGAATTCTATTACGAAGACGAAACCATCCTGTCACCCAAAAGAATCCCCGCACCATAATTATTTTGGTTCGTTAAATACGAAAGTCCTTGTACATCCGATCTTCATCTCATTAACTATAGGCCTTAAAGGATATCGAACGTAACTAAATCAAATTATCCTAGACCGTTTTCGATTCAAAAATACATTCTAAATCGCGTGTTAACACAGTGTGCATTTTTGACTTAATATTCTTGAATATTCTCGTTGTTGACAAAATATTATGTTGGTAACATTCATGAAAAAGCATCATAAAAATTGTTAAATACCGGTATTATGAATCTGATGTGATGATTTACTAAATTTTCAAAGACCGTATAAAACAATTATGCAATATAGTGGAGCGGGTGTGGTTTACGCGGTTTTTAATTTTCTAATTACCAATGGATAAAGAAGGTACCATTCAGTTGATATTTTGAATGTATTACAAAACAGATAAATATAAGGTATGATTGGCTTCAAAAGCTCATGTAAAACATAGATAGTTACAGGTAATAAATTACGTAGCATGTAACGCTACATGGGATGACCAGTTAATTGCCTATAAATTGAAGCGAGATAATTGTATTTTACGATGAGAAACACCCGTCTTTTAGTTTATTAAAAAAAGTACAGCATGCGGATCATATAAATGTAAGGTAGACCATGGGTAATGCATTACCTCCACTTTGAAGAGTATTTCAATAGGCTAAAATCGCTTGAAACTTAAAGGGTTTGATTTAAATTTTATAATTACTGTAGGTATTTATTTGCTTAATAATGCCAAAATGTATAGCAAATATGATACTAGATATTTTCAAAATTTAATAAAATAAAAAGTACACCTTAAAAGTATTTTATATTTCGCATGATCAACCAATATACCTTAAAAATGTAGGCAAACTTTGAAAACAGCCCCTCATTATGGAAAATTTTAGGAATATTTTGAATAAGGCATTTTAGATAGGGAAGTGGTAAAATTAGTGTTTAAAGTGGGTGGGGTAGGGTAACATTTTTAAACATATTAAAACATTTTGTTTAGAAACAAAGATTTTGCTTGTGTAATTTGTTACCTGAATTTTATTATGTGTTTCTTTACAAGTGGCAATAGAATTTTTTTTTATAATGATGATATTACAGATTATTTAGAGTTTCTGAAAATAAGCCCTTCTTATGGCAAAGTCTTAGTTCAGAAATATATCTATAACTTATAAACCATACAGTATTTTTTTTAAAATTTTGCATACAGGTGACCTTGGAGACATATAACTGTCCTATGTTGTCAATTTTACAGTTCCTTATGATTCCCATTACCCATGGTCTACCTTAATGAAAGTATAAGGCGATGGCTCTAATATACCTGATTATAGATTCTCTTTATGACGAAAAACAAGTAATATCTTAAACTAAAACTGAAAAGCAGATATAAAGTTCCTTAACTTTTGCCACAAAGTTCATAATTTTGTCTGAAATAAACAGATGTAAAAAATATTTACTGGTAAAAAGCTAGTGCTAGTCTGTATTTCCCTATATTATTTTGCTATGTAAAAATCAATGTCTGCCATGGAAGTCACTGGTTTCTTTGGAAATGTACAAATTTCTTTGGAAAGCCTATAACTGCTATAGAATAGAGAAAAACAGATTTCTAAGGAAGGTCATTTAGAATATGTCCGTATTTACTGGGATTTACCTATTACCTCAAATAACTGAATGGCTATGTTCCAAATTGGCGGCATTTTTGGAAAATCGTGTTCAGTTACAGCACTTTAAAGAAATTCCTTTACATAATCTTCGTTTACGACATAACCTTTTGAAACGCCCCAAACAACACAATACAATGTATATCTTGATGCATTTATTTGGAAAATATAACTGAAAGTGGACAGACTAAGGTAGGGATATTTTATGTCATGAGTGAAAACGGCTACGGCATTACCGATCGCGTTACGGAAAGAACGATTTTCTAACTTACTTTTCCCATATTTCATGCACAATTTTGGCCAAATACCATCAAACAATCTGATAAAACATTAACACAAGTAATGCTATTGATGACTTGTTTATAACTTGGTACCTATAACAGTTAGATCAGCAGATGTTGAAATATGACCAAATACACACGAATAAGTCCCCGTGTCTTCCAATGATGCTTGAGTTATCGCTAACCAGTGGGTGCAATGGTTGCTCATGAAAACCATATTATCTGTAATGTTGATCAGCTTGCTATCTTTTCTCCACTCAACATTATCGCCAACTGGAGTGTTGAGTTGACATCTTAAAACGACTGAATCATTGGTATAGACATTCTTGTTCTGAAGTTCTTCAATGAAGATTTGGTCTGAAGTATATTTTTATTTTGTTTATTTAATCATAATTTATTTGAATCAAGTAATTGTACGCTGTGCATGTAATTATCAATACCATTTGATATTTCATTTTAAATTACCACTCTTATCAAACCATTCAAGACATTTAAATTTAAACTACTCTGAAAGAAAAAGACAAGATTGATAATTCAATGCACACATAAATATAAGACAACAATGAAAATTAATACTTCAGATCAATTAAAGACGTTTTCGGTAGTTTTTTGTGCGCGTCGTTATGCGCTTCCAAGAAAGACAACCACGGATAATTACTCTTCAAAAAGAAAGTCAAGTTGAAGAGTACTCGCATAAGTGTTTAAATTTCGGCTATAAGAAAATAATGAGTAAATAATACAGAATAGATATTTCTAAATGTTCAGGAGGAAATCGATTCAAAAGAATAAGAGATCGGTTAGACAACACCAGATAAAGGATTTCTCCTAGCATTAAAACGACAGCATTGATGATGATTCTGCGCGCGTAACCCCACCCACTTGTGGTAAAGTGACGAAAGTGCGTCGCCACTTGATCACTGGCAGCAACGGGGCAAAGAAGTTTAAAATGATATATATTTTAAATGTGTTGAATAAAAAACAAAATTAATATCTAAGAAATGTTCCGAATTTCATTATTTTCTTTGTAAATTTCTGAATACTGGCTAATTGTTCGGGTATGTTAGTCGAGTGAAAAAATAATATGGCCCTACAGTATATAACCTGTTTTAAAAACATATATTTAGTATCATTTACTTACTATTACCTCAAAAGAAAAAGAATTTTTAATTACAACATGTTTTTGTTGTATATATGACAATACATTTAGTATAACACTGATATTTCTTAAGAAAGCGTGGTAATTTTGACAGTTGGCATATGCAGTAACCATGGAAACTACCCGTTTACAAAAAAAAAAAAAAAAAAAAACTAATACGTCAACATATATTTTTATTTCTATTTTTGAATCCATTATAAAACTTTATTTGATATATCAAAAATGTAGAAAATTCTATGAAAGAAATTTTTTGATAGCTTTAATTTTTTTTACAGAATTCATGTTTATTTTTCTCATTTTTTTGTTTAGTTAAAAAGCATGAAAACCTCATTTTTTAAAGAAATATGTTCCAATTATCGTTTGTTTTATACAGAACCATAAGATAAAGCGAGATGTAATACGCATGCGCAAGAAAATAGCCAGAACATTTCAAAACGTTTGTCAACAATGGCACAAAATGGCGCGATTCTAGGTGCTCAAAGCCTTCAAAACGGATTAAAAAATGGATCAAGTGGACAAAATGAGGTAACAGCCCAATACCAATCAAGTGCAAACTACAATTCACAACCTATCTATTACTCAGATACGCCGTATGTGGCAATGAACTCTGCTTCTCCTTTGTTCACAGGTAATACTCCACTCACACCGTGTTCACCGGTAGTCCAAATCAAGCGTATAATCATAATATCATTGTATGTTGTTACAAAGGCTTGATTCAATGGACAAAAAGCTTTCACAATTAGATAATATCCAAGTACGCATTTAACGGTTCGCATGGACAAAATGGACCAAAAGATCATCTCCTTTGACGTCAAAATGAGTTCGTTTGATAGTGATATTCTTGAAACTATAAACAAAAGGCAAAAAGAATTAGACACATTGTTAAAGTCAATGAAAAAGTCTGAAAAGGATTCACGGGAAAAGGAGTTAGAGTTACGGGATGAAATTACAGATGAAAACTGCGAGCAGAAAGTTCTTAACTTTATTGAAAAGGAGATGAAAATATTTGACGCCAAAGAAAATATAAAACTACATCGAGCTCATAGACTTGGCGTGTACAGAAGCACCAAAGTTCGCCCAATTGTTGCTAAATTTGCATATTTTCCGGACCGAGAAAGGGTTAGAGCTTCCGCAAAAACCTTATCAGGTACGCACTTTGTTGTCGCAGAGCAATTTCCTAGGGAGATTATGGAAACAAGGCGAAAACTGGTACCAATCATGAAAAAGGCCCATGATGAAGGAAAAGAGGCGTATATTAAAGTAGATAAATTGTACATTAATAAGCAGCTATACCGTGGACATGATTAGGAGTCACAAGAGAGTGTCATCAAGTGTTTATCATGGAATGTTGAGGGACTTTCTAAAGTTAAGCGATCATCAAACGAATTTATTGGAATTATAAGTGAAAATGATGTTATATGCTTAAGTGAGTCTTGGACGAATAAAAGCTCAGTTATTGATCTTAATGGATATGACAAACCGTTTCATTCTTATAGACGATTTCAGCATAGACGTGCTAAGCGCTCCAGCGGTGGACTTATCATATATATAAAAAATTCCATAAGAAAAGGTGTTAAAATGGTTAAAAATGACATTGACTGTCTGGTATGGTTGAAATTTGATAAATCGTTTTTTCACATAGAAAATGACATTTATTTAGCAGTTGTATACATTGCACCAGAATATTCCCCGATTCATGATAGGTACGATGAAGATATTTATAGGCACATTGAAAATGATATAAATATATTCAGCAATAAAGGAAAAAATATTCATTACTGGAGACACTAATTCGCGCATTGACCAGAAAAGTGATTATATAACATATGATAGACATATAGGACAAACAGATATTTATACGATTGACCCATATTTGCCACGGACTTCTTGTGATTTTGGTTCAAATCGCTTTGGCGATCGATCGTTTACTTGACCTTTGTAAATCAACCAATTTTCGGGTAGTTAATGGTAGATTGTATAGAGATAAAGGCATAAGCAAATTTACCTGTATGAAATATAACGGGGAAAGCGTGGTCGATTATCTGGTGACGTCACAGTTAAACTTTCAAGATTTAGCCGATTTTTATGTGCATGATTTCAATGAATTTTCTAACCATGCCCCATTGTCATTTTCATTCAAAGTTAACTCGATTCCAAGTACAATAAAAAGGAGCCAACTATCTCTTATAAATGGAAACCATCACAAAGGGATGCATTTATAAATGACGTATCACATGATATACAAAACATAGAAACTATTTTACAAGAGCAAATAAACAACGGAGATAGTACCGATACATAAACCAAGACTTTCACGGACTTTTTAAACGATAAAGGCAAACAGTACTTTAAAACTAAATCAGTTGCACGAAATTATTATTTTTTGCATAATGACTCAAATCTGAAGAAATGGTTTAGTGATGAATGTAAATTAAAGAGAGAAAGTTATTTACAGGCAATGATTACAAAAACACTTGTGAAAAGCATAAAAGAAGCTATAATAAAAATGTTGGTAAAAAATGAATGATATGAGAAGAAAAAATCCACGAGAGTTTTGGAAAACATTTAAAAAGAAATCTTCAAATCCAAATGGTGAAAATATAACTGTTGAAGAATTGTATGACAATTTCAAAAACTTGTCTTCAAATACAATGCTTAGTGAAAGTATGGAATGTAATGACTTTTTGTCGCAATTTGATACAGCCTCAGACTCCTATGGCAGTTCCTTCGCTGAACTGGATCAACCAATCACAAAAGAGGAAATAATATCCGCCACCAAGAAACTCGGTTGTAATAAGGCGTGTTTCATTAGACAATATCCTATATGAGTATTTCAAAGAAAGTATATTTGTAACACGCACGTTCAATTGAACTATTGTTTTACCACATATTAAATACAAAAGTGTTTCCTCGTAGCTGGTCAACAGGAGTAAATAATACCAATATATAAAAAAGGTGATTCGTCTGACCCGAATAATTATAGAGGAAATAACATTGATCAGCTGTTTTGCTAAATTGTTTACAGTTATCATAAATGAACGATTGAAACGTTGGGCTGAAAACACAGAAACTTTGACAGACGCACAATTCGGTTTCAAACCGAATTTCGGTACTATTGATCCTATTTTTATATTAAATGCTTTAATAGAAAGACAATTTAGAACGAAAAATAAGCTCTTTTGTTGTTTTGTGGATTATAAAAAAGCGTATGACTTAATCGACAGAAATTACCTTTGGTATAAGCTCATAAAGACCGGCGTGGACGGAAAACTGTTCTCTATTATACGGTCAATGTACGAAGATGTTAAACTATGTGTAAGACATTTATATAGTTTGTCAGATTTTTTCACCTGTGATGTAGGTCTCTTTCAAGGGGAGATCACCTCGCCGATCATGTTCTCTATATTTTTGAATGATATTGAAATGTTTTTACAAGAAGACCCAAATGTTTTCATAACACTAGACCAGATATCTATGTATTTGTTGTTGTTTGCGGATGATGCCGTTCTTTTTCTGAATCCAAAGAAGGTCTACAAAACAATATAAATAATTTACAATTGTATTGCAAAAAATGGAATTTAACTGTAAATGTTGATAAAACTAAAATTGTTGTTTTTAGAACAGGTGGTCAATTAAGTAGAGAGTTCAAATGGTCATATGACGAAATTGATATAGAAATTGTTCAAAACTTCAATTGTTTAGGAATTGTATTTTCTAGTGGCGGTTCATTTGTACCAGCAACAAATACCCTTAGTGGAAAAGGCTTAAGGGCAATGAACTCTCTACTTAACATTACAAAAGAGTTAGATATATCTATAGAAATAATGTTCAATTTGTTCGATGCGTATGTTTTATCTATTTTGAATTATAATTGTGAAGTATGGGGCTTTAATAAAGCAGAAAATATTAAACGTGTGCAAAGAAAATTTTGTAAATGGTTATTAAATGTTAAAATGTCAACGAATACTCTATCATTGTATTCTGAACTAGGTAGATTTCCTTTGTATATTGAAAGATATATAAGGATAGCAAAATATTGGTTAAAGTTACACGGCGATAAAAGTCAAAACTGTATTTTAACAACTATTCTAAGTTCTCAAAGAAATGATATATCAAATAACTCAAATGTTGTCAACTGGTCATCAAAAGTTCGAGACATGTTACAAAACGCTGGATTCGCCGAAGTATGGTTATTTCCAGAATCGGTTAATATAAAAAAAATTATACCAGTATTCAGATCACGTCTCAGGGATATATATGTAACCCAATGGCGAGCAGACATGGCGTTATGCTCTTCCTTGCAATTGTATTCAAATGTTAAAGTTAAATATGAAAGGTCTATTTATCTTAAATTATTAGAAAATGCAAAATACAGATCAGTTCTTGCAAAAATTAGATTAAGTTCCCATAAACTACATATTGAATCTGGAAGACACAGGGGTATTGAAAGAAGTCAGAGAAAATGCACATTATGTACGTCCGGGGATATAGAGGATAAATTTCATTTTATATTAATATGTCCAATTTATAGTGATTTTAGAAGTATGTACATTTCAAGATACTTTACTGTTAATCCTAGTGTTTATAAATTCATACAATTGTTAAACGCAGATAGAAAATTGGTTATTAGAAAATTAGCAATATTTTGTATTAAAGCATTTGAAAGACGAGACAATTTGGTAGATCAGCATATCAATATGATATTATTAATGTAGTAATTAGTAAAAATGTAGCATTCTCAATCAACATGTTTAGCTATGTCATAAATATTTAAATATATATGACTGATTGAATTTATAATGATATGATTCTTGATGCATGCATTGTAATAATTATACATGTATATGTATGTTATGATGATGGGTGTTGAGCCCAAGTCAGAAATAAAGTATATATTCTGTTCTGTTCTGTTCTATAAAACTTTATTTGATATATCCAAAATGTAGAAAATTCTATGAAAGAAATTTTTTGATAGCTTTAATTTTTTACAGAATTCATGTTTATTTTTCTCATTTTTTTGTTTAGTTAAAAAGCATGAAAACCTCATTTTTTAAAGAAATATGTTTCAATTATCGTTTGTTTTATACAGAACCCTAAGATAAAGCAAGCTTTGTATAAAATTATGTTGATTGTGTGTGTAATTAGCTGTCTTATACATTATTATAACACAGTTTGGCTATTTTGACAATTTTGAGATATACGGTTACCATGGAAACTGGCATTTTTCAAAAAATCCAACGCGTCAACATATATTTTTCTTTTTAATTTTGAATTTGTCATTAAATTTTACACAACATACAATCCCATGAAAGAAATTTTTCAATATCTTTAATTATTCACAGAATTCATGTTTATTTTTCTCAATTTTTGTTCGGTTAAGGAACATGGAAAACTCATTTTTTAAAGAAATATGTTCAGATTATCATTTGTTTCATACGGAATCATAAGCTATGGTTATATTTGCATAAAACAATGCTTGTTGTGTGTATTAAGCTATCTTATACATTTTCTATTTGTTATAACACAGTTTGGCTATTATACCAGTTTTTAGATATACGGTTACCATGGAAACTGCCATTTTAAAAGAAATCCAACACGTCAACATATATTTTTCTTTTTATTTTTGAATTCGCCATTAAATTTTACTTATCATACAAAAAAATTAGAAAATTCTATGAAAGGATTAAATTTTCATAAAACTGCAGAAACTGTCTTTAATAGAAGATTTCTTCTAAGATTTAGTATATTGTTTGATTGTCTATGAATCTAATCAGTTCGGATCATACCGAAAAGAAATTTCAAATATAGATATATTCAAGTATTTTGATATTTGATGCAGACATAACTCAAACTTATCATTTTGCCAAAGCGTAAGATATATGCATATTGACAAGTTACAGATGACGTTATGTAATTGGATGCATTACAAACATATAAATAAATGTTCATGCTTACCATTTGCTTGAACCACTTGTGTGTTCTCCTCACCAGTAAATGTATTCTGTGTCACACAATTTACTTCAATTGCAACTTGAAGATGCGTTTTAACATCTTGTGTCCTTGTTAGTTTGTCTATCTGTGTTTCGCTTAATTGCATCGATTTTGATTCATATGAAAACATCATACGTTTACAATAAAGATTAGCTTGGTCGTCTACGAATGTTATCAACTCGAGTAATTGATCGTGCAATACATGGTTTTTCTCGTTGTAGGTATTGAATGTTAGGGAGGCACATTCGGTGTATTGTTCAATATCTTTCCTCTGATCATATATACATTGAATGGCTTTAACTTCTGATTCAGTTAGATCAGACTTGAACAAAACTAATGTCACAGCACATAATTGAAGTGTGTCCCACGTATCAATGTCGTCATTGACATTATCTTCTTGAAATAATTGAAGATACTCAGTTTTGTACTGTGTTTTGATTGTATGTCTATTTTTATTTAACAAATCACGTATACCGTTACCACACTTTTTCTCTTCTCTTTTTATAATGGCCTTCAATGCGATGGGCGAAGCTTGTTCCAATAACAATATATGACTGAGGTAGTGCTCATGCCCCCTAGTTATATCATATTTCTTCTGCAACGTGAATTATAATATATTCTTTTAATAAATAAGATTTAGGGTCTTGTTTGAAAATTTGGGCGACTTTGGCTGCATAATGAATTTGATTAAGTCCTTTTCCTTTAGTTAATAAAAGCAACATCACATCAAAGTATCGAACTGATATTCTTTTTATGGTAATTCTGAAATGCGTTAATTGTTTAGTATAAAGTTATCACAATGGAGTTTATACGATAAATGTAAGAACATCATATATAAAGATGCTAATGTATAAAGATATAAAAGATATAGCGAAGATTGTAATCATACGATTTTCTATATAATCTGAGAACTATTTAAAATTAAAACATTTACAGAAATCAATTTTACCTGTGATGGCATCTCCATTGTTTCATTTTATTCGTTGTTGTTCGTCCTGCTTTTAATTGTCAGTCATATAGAACCCTAGACCACGAGACTCTGAAGAAAGAAAATACAGTAATATAAACGTCCTTTTAATAAGATATTTTGAATAAGAACTTTATAAATATTTTTGTTATATTTAACAATTGTGTACACAAATACAGAATTTTCAGTTAAATAAGTGAAAAGCAGAAAAGGTATTGTTAGCCATTATGTGAAATTCCAATTAAAAGGGTCTCCATCATCATATCATTATTCATCAAAATCATTCAGTTGGAATTTTCTTAACTGACAGGCATAATCATCCTATTACTCCTTATCATCCACCACCTTCGTCTCAATAATCATTTTTATAATTTTATTTATGTTCTCATCATTATTTCAATCATCAATATAAGTATCGTCATCATTATTTCAATCATCAATATAAGTATCGTCATCATTGTTACAATCATCAATTATCACCAAAACCACCGAAGTCGTCATTATTATTACAATCAAAGTCATTGTCATGTAAATCATCATCCAAATCATCATTACTCATCGTCATCTTCAACCTCATCATTATAATTAACCAATATCGCAAAATTCCCCATGTTGTAGAGAAATTTCTTATTATACTTATTTATTTCTTTTCTTTCAATGTTGACCATATTGTAGGGAATGTACATATAGGCACGACTAACTCTTATGTTAAATTGAATTAATGTAAACTTGTAAATGGTGATAATGAATAAATTGAAATTAATTATATAATATCCGTCAATTTTTTATGAAAATTTTAACTACTTGTTTCTAATATTTGTTAATTATTTTGCTGATATCCTTTTTTTAATATCTACCTTACTTTTCTTTTAAGAAAATCGAGTACACACCGCATTGGCTATTGTTGGTCACTGGACTTAAGCAAACAGCGGGGGCATATTAATAAGCATATTAATCATATAAATCAACGCAGTGTGAAATTGTAGGCTTTGATATCTGGAATATAATTCTGTAAATGTTTTTTACAAAGACATGTTCTTTAAGAAAATAACAAAAATTCAATTTTCTTTAAAAAAAAAATAATCAAGAATGCTAAACGAAATGTGTTGCTATAGTTATACATGTATTTGCAAACATTTTTATGTTTATATATATGTACATTTAATTATTTAGAGTTTTTAAGAGATAATAATATTATGAATATCATATCGTTTTGTAAGGAAAATGTATTTCATTCACGAAAAATCACAATAAGATTGTTCTATGTATATTTAATAGGACTTAAGTGACGACTCTATTTATTAACACAATATAATTATCATTTGCTGGTGCTGTTGGTTATGATGCTACTGAGGATGGTGGTGATGATTGTTTGACATGTTTTGTTTATCTAGTTTATGTTAATCTAGTTATCACATTTATTTGGTTATATCTTGGTGATTTTTTAACCTGTCCACCCTTCATGAAAAAAAAAACAACCACAGAAGTTACCAATTTTTCATCGCAACAGGTTGACTTCTAACTAATCCAACATGATTTCATTTATTCATTGTATGTAAAGTTATTGCCCCTGACTAAGTAAAAGTTTGCAATTTTCATCTTGTGTTGCACGTAGCCTTAAAAGTATTTGACCTAGAGTAATAAAAAAAACTTAAAAATAAAATATATCTCTAAATAAATCACATTTTGCATTTTTATTTGCAAGTACTTGCAATAAATGACAATTCTCCATTTGCCTTTGGTCATCAATTAAAAGTAAATTCGTCAGACCGATTTAGTAGAGACAGGTTACTAATCGAATAAAATACTGACCGAATTTAAATGCCTTTTTGGTAACTGATTTTATGATTTTGTAGTAAAAAGCAACAACAATAACAACAACAGCAACAAAAAGTTAAAAAAAAAAAACACAAAAAACAAACTTAGTTTTGTATAAAAACTGTTTGTGTTGATTGTCTTAGATTTAAGCAAAAGCAAAGACCTCCTTGAAGGGATCGATAGACCTTAGTGTGTCCTGGAAAGTCATTTTGTAACACTAGCGAGCTCAGTTTATAATAAGTTCTTTCACAAATATAACATGGTGAGTTTAAATGTTCATATTAATTTTGAGAGGTTGTTATTCACCCAAAAACTATTTCGGCATATATTGTTATGCTAATGTAAGTTCTAAATTTATTGTTGCCTTAAGGTCTATGTATACCTCTGTTAAATCTTCCGTTCGTTATAACAATATCAAGTCAACTTCAATAAATTCATACGTTCGAGTTAAACAGGGATACCTTTCTAGCAATTTATAGTTTCTATTTTTCCTTAATGATATTTTGGACAATTTAGACGGTATAATTAATATTGGTGATATGCACATATTTCTATGATTGTTCGCAGATGACGCTGCGAATTTTTCTAAAAACCCAAACAGATTACAATCTTTATAAAACGATATAGAATAATACTGTAATAATTACAATTTAAAACTTAATGTTAATAAAACAAAAATAATGATTTTTGAAAACAGTCGTCACACAAATTATGGTTTTTATTTATATAACACAAAAATCGAGGTTGTCAAATCCTTTAAATACATGTATCTAGGACAATGGAATATAACGCAGGAACGTATAACACAACATGCTTCTTTCGCTCTTCATAATTTGTTTATTATCTTTAATCAAGTAGATTTTCCCGTTTCACAGCAAATAAAATTGTTTGATTCTCTCGTATCATCAACTTTGAATTATGCAGCGGAGGTATGGGAATCACACATCGCACCCACTGTCGAAGTAATTCATTCTAAATTTTGTAGAAAAATTCTAGGAACTAAAATATCCACAAACCGAGAAGCGTTATATGGCGAACTTGGTCTAACACCAATGTAAATTCAACAGCAAATAATTATGATTAGATATTGGATTAAGTATTATCGCTTCAAGAAAGTGCTATCCTTTTTAAAACATATTATATGTTAAGAATTGATGCTGACAATGGACAGTCTTATAATGGTAAAAATTGGGCTTTACACTATTAAACAAATATTAGATGAATCTGGATTAATATTTGTATGGGAAAGCCAATGTAACATACAGGAAGATTTTAAAGCAATTAAATTCAGATTTCTTAGTTTGTATTACGAAAAATGGTATACATTGATAAATAGTTCACCTCGTCCTGATACATACAGACTTTTGATTTAGAAAAATACAAAAGTGTAATTTAAGAACCAAAGTGTAGAATAGCCTTATCTAGATTCAGAACATCGTCCCATAATTTAACTGTAGAATATGGAAGATATCGACAAATTCCAAGAAAATAACGTATTTGTGAAAATTGCCAATTTAATCAAATAGAGAATGAATATCACTTTTCACTTATATGCCCGGAGTTCTCCGATTTGAGAAAAAAGTATCTTAAACGGTATTACTACACATGACTGACTAAGCAAAAGTTTATCAATTTAATGTCCGAGTAATCGTTTACTGTAATTAATGGTTTAAGCAAATTTATATATCATGCTAACATTTTAAGAAATTAATCCTATCTAATGTGATCTGTATTTTATTCATATGCATGTTAGGCTCTTGATAAAAATCCATGACTTGTGTTATTTGTGTTTATATATTTTGTACTTGCTATAAACATGTGTTTGTGTAATGCAAAACAGTTTTGAAGTTGAAGTTATGCACCTGATCGTCCGTCCGTAAATTAACACTTTAATATCATGTCCGCTCTGTATCATTTGAACGGATGACAGCAATTTTAAACTACTTGGCATGTTTAAAAGTTAACTTCTACTTAAACAGGGGTTAGGAGGCATATACGGTAACTTGCCCCTTCCAGTACCTTCAATTAACAGACTCAGACAAACTGAACCTGCAACATTTTCATTTTTTCCCGTTTTGGGAGTTCCTTAGGAGTTCTATTTTTTTTTTACTATTTATTAAAAAGTTAGACACATTTAAATATAGTTTACGTTGTAATAAACCTTTAATAATTTAGCTTTATTTATAGCATGTTCTTATAAACGAAATATAACTGTCTATCAAACAATATTATCTATTCTATCATCGGTTATTGACGAATAAAGTCTTAATTAAACAAAATGTAAGTTTTGACACGTTAAAAGGCTAAATTGTAAAGTCTATTATTTTACCTCCAACAGCAATTCCATTACGATCTTTTGTTTCAATTCAACACCGTATACTTCGATCGAGATATAAAGATAGAGTTCATTGACGATTAACCGTGCAGAGCACAATGTAATTCATAATAGAATATATATACAAGTTTAAAGATATTCAACTAAAAGACAAAAATCTGGATTTTTGTCATGCAAATATCTTATTTGTTTGTTTGTTTGTTTTATTTTACGCCTTTTTCCAACAGTATTTCAGTCATATAGGCGGGTAGTTTCCTAACCATCGTTCCTGGAGAGTTAAACCAGTACTAGACTACCTTCCTCCGCGCTAAACTACCAAAGCAAATATCTTATAATATTAATTAATACTTTAAGGCACGAAACATTTCTTCTGTTAAAGCATACCATCTACGTACATTTATAGTTTTTAAACTAATCTCACAATATATATACGAGGGCAAATCAAATATTTTGCGGATAACACTGTTATGCCTAGTTCATTTGATAAAGATAAAGTCGGGCTAAATATCTAATAATTATACAATTTATATATAACATTTTACAGAAAACAAATAAAATGTTTGTGTCAATTTACAACAAATCACTCTTCAGCATATGTAGCGCCTAGATTACAAATAAGGATGACAACAACGTTAGTCCTTAAAGATACATATAGGTCTTTTAATAAAATTATCATGTCGACATCTGCATGTGTGGAAGAAGTCTTTATATCACTCCGATGTTTTCCTCGTCAATGTAGATTCCGTTGCGCAGCGAAATTGTTGTACATGTTCACTGCGGTATACCGTACCCCGGATATTGCTCGATATTATTAGGACTTTCATCCTATTTCACGACTTTGAACGAGGAACGAAGGTAAGTTCAGCGACGATTTTTTCCAAACTAATGGCTATTTCATTTATCTCAACGGGTTTTATAT